CCCGTGTACGGCTGCTTCCTATCAGAAAGGGACGCCTTTCCCAATTGAGTGTAGCCTGTTCTTATGAACAGGAACCAAGGTCTGGTGAATGGGAAACCCCAAACCCCACCATCGCCTCGTAGTATCTAAAATTCGTCTCCAGGTTTGGTCGCAGCTCGGGGCAGGTGCCATCGCCGCCATGGCCTGCGGGGGAGCCATCGGGCGTCGAGGGGGCAGCGCCACCACGGGGCCCGGAAGAGGAGACCTAGGTCTCCAGACCCCTGGGAGGATCCAAAAGTAGAACCCCCAAAATATGACCCTTACTCATTCTTGGGAATCTTTCAGGGGATCTACTTTTTGGATCCGCCCAGGTTTTCAGGTTAGGCCAAGGAGAGCGAGGGGGGGGGCTCCCCAACATCCTAGGCTATAGCAACCAGGCTGCGTTAAGAGATATACTGCGTGTGTTCCATGTTCGAATATGCTCAGCGGAAAGGAAAGCCATTGTTCGTAAACAGAAGCTAGAACCCCAAGCCAAGTGACTGGGACTGGCTGCGGACGTGACACGTATGGTGCCGGAAAACCCCTGAGCCACGAGCTTACGCCCTGGACGCAAGATGGCAAGCCGCGGCATCCAGTTCCGGCCTCGTCTCGGAGGCAAGCCACTCCAATACATTGAGAGCCGCCGAGAGGATGCATGACTTGCTTGAAGCATGCCCCATCCTTGCCCGTGTCAAAGCTTGTCGGCAGGCACCGGAGCAAAGTTCCCTGCAGGTTCAGTTCTTCCGGTTTCCAAACTCCTTCCTCGGATGGGGCCACCCGTGCTTGAGAGTTGAAATACACAATACTATTGTCCTCCCCCCCGAATCCGCGCATCTGAACCTGCAGCGTTTTGGGCAGGGACCCGCCGCAGCGGCTGACGATCAATGTGCAACTCACGTCAAGCATCAACCAACGCCCGGAACTCCAGACAAAGTCATTGCCATACGCCTTCGATAAAGCAGGCAAGCAAACCAACATGTGGTCTGCAGGGGTCTCCTCTCCATGGACGTCTTTTGGCATGAACATGGGTATGTCCGGAACTGAGAAGTACTCTGCTTCTTCACCAGATCGGAGTCGCCTATGCTGAGTAGCAGGCTGAAACTCAAAAGTGGTTACTCGTCCGGCTCCCCGCATTGCCTGCGCTTCCAATGCTCCTGAAAAACCCAGCCCCGCATGGAAAAGTTGAGTGTTTCGTGGCGTGGCCACTTGTGGCCGCGCAAACCCTAAACCCCTAAAAACCCAAAAACCCCAAAAATCCCTAAAACCCTAAATCCCTAAAGCCCCAAAAAACCTAAAACCCCAAAAACCCTAAAACCCTAAGCAGGCCATGTACATGAGTAAACTCATCATCTTCAGGAGCACTAGGTCCAGAACCCTGGGTTTTTCTTCGAGAAGAAGCACAAGCAAGCCTTCGTTTGCCATAGATCGCACGCTTTTTGCCACCAATTTCCTAAAGAAAACATGACAAAATGGTGTGATTTCACACAACAGGAATCCGGAATGAAGGGGAGTGCATCGAGGCCATATTTAAGAATTGTTCGGAATGTACGTCGGGATGTGCAGGACTATGACCATACCCCTAAGGTTAGCGGCCACATGGGAATTCATGGGAAATTGCAAGTGTGCATGAACACCGGCTAAAGCTTAGTAGCGTTTATGCAGGGACTACGTAGCAATGCAACAGGGATGGTCTCCCCTGTGCTCATCTCTATCTAGTTCCTACATTTCTACTAGACAATCGTTGGAATTCTGTATTAGGTTTCCAAGAACTTTAACTCATCATGACTGATATTGGGCACTGTACAACTAGAGAGCGCAACGCGAGACAACTGTCCCCGAAGGTGTCCATGTACAGAAGGCCTTGTTTAGGCTAATGCACTACCAATGTTTTGGGGGGGTTTGGCGTTCCTGGAACAAGATGCACTGTCACAAACCGCTGCGAACATGCCCAACACTGGAATGTTCAGCGTGTTTGCTTTGTATAGAAACATATTGCAAGAGTACGTTTGATGTTTCCGCAACCAGACGCGCTGTCACAACTATTCATGCCCTTTGCGATCCGCAAACGCGGCTATTTGCAGCGTTTTGCTTGATTCTACAAGATACAAGACCTCGCAAACCATGATGCAGCCGAAAACCACGAACAAAACCCTAGAAAATGAGCCTTTTAACGGGAAACCCATGAAGATGTGTTCGCGAACGACCATCAGACCTTACACCAAAACGTGGTTTTTGACTCGGTAACAGCACAAAAAGGCTTCCCACAGGCACAAACTTAAGAGAAAACAAGGCCCCAAAACTTGGGCAAGTGCGCGAGGTTATCACTTCCCCCAAAACAATCTCAAGCCGAAATCGTCGTTTTCCCTCGGGAAAACTACCAAAATACCTAAAATCAACCCCTGCTAACGCGCAGGTCGTTTCGCGTTTGGGCACCCCCAGCCGAATGGCACAGGCAACACACGCGACTTCAAGAAGGAAACATCCTGCTGACGGGCGTCCCAATCCTATCAAGCATTCCGGCTTCTATTTCAGAAGAACCTGTGCGAAGGGCTCCAGAGCAAGGAATACGGAGCGCAGCCAGGGATATGTCAAATGTCGAACTGTCCTGAGGGCCCAAAAACTGCATTAACACGTGGATCCTGCATAGGGGTTATGAGGTCCCTAATCTAGCAAGCCTAGACATGGGAATGCTACGGCGTAAACGCTGCACCCCGAAACCTTACACCCCTGAACCGCAAAAGCCCTAAAGCTTCAAATCCCTAGTATGGGACTGCTAAGGCATAAACACTAAACCCCAGAACCGTACACCCCTAAACCCTTCAATCCCTAGGGTCCAACTTCTTTGCTGCAGCAAGGTCAGCTCCAGCCAAGACGTGACGCTCATACCTCAGAGGGCAACGTCCATGTCAAAGATCGAGGAACACGATCGTTTAGGGTTTAGGGTTTATATAGGCTTAAGGCTTGGGGTTTAGGTTTAGGGCTTAGGGCTTAGGGTTTATAGGGTTTATGGCTGAGGGAGGGGAGGGGAGGAGGGGGGAAGTGCGAGTCCTCCTCCTGGCACCTCGTAGGGAATCGGGTATAGTGTATTCTAGGATCCTCAAAAAGGGGCACGAACAGTTCCCCAAAGAACTCCCTCCAAAAGCACCAGGAAACCCTTGCCAAGATGCGGGAGATCGCGGAAGTCCGTGCGAGACGCCTCGCCGTCCATGCCAGGAACGGCTCCTGGAGCTCCGACACCGCCCAGGGACACCTCAGGGGCATACAGGTTGAGCAAGGGCTTGTAGGGTTTAGGGTCTGTAACGGTTTGTAGGGTTTATAGGGTTTATAGGGTTTATATGGTTGATAGGGTTGATAGGGTTGACAATGTATAGGAATGATAGGGTTTATGGGGCCTGTAGGGGTTTACAGGGTTTTATAGGATGTATGGCAATGATAGGGTTTATGGGCAAATAGGGGTTTACGGTTTACAGGTTGCCGGTCACCCAGGGCCGTCCCTGGTTCATACCCAGACCAGGCGGTTCTCGTCAACGGCGCCGGCAGCAAAGCCACCCAGAGCCTCGAGCAGCAGCACGCGTCCTGCCTTGGTTCGAGGGCTTAGGGCAGAGTTTAACCGCTAAGCCCCAAACCCTAAACCCCAACCGCTAAACCTTAAACGGAGTAGTTGGGGTTCTAAAGCAAACCTACAAAAAACAGTGAACCCCAATTGAAAAGGGACCCCACATTTCTGGGAAACCCGCGTTTGAGACATGGCCAAATCCCAAGGCGCAGGCTGACAGTTGCTATCCAAGCCCTGCTCAGAACATGGAGGGCTCAGGGTTCAGGGCTTTCGGCGCCTTCGGCCTTCATTCTCGCGCCCGCCTAGGGTCTTGACCTTAGGGCTTGGGGTTTAGAGCCTCAACCCTAAACCCTAAACCCTGAACCCTGAACCCTAAACCCTAACATCCAAAACCCCTAAACCCTAACATCCAAAACTCCAAAATTGCCTGGGAGTTGCATCTGTGATCTCCCACAGGCGGGTGGCTGTCCCTCGGGGAGAGCCAGGAAAACCGCCGATGCCCACCTCGAGCTTTCGGCTTGTCTTCCCAGACATCTATTAATGGGTCCCCTAATTAGGGGGGAACCTAGGTGGGGGGCAGTACAGAAGGGGTAGGAGGGAAACGGGGGGGAGGGGCGCAAGGAAGGCGACATTTCCTTGCCAAGGCCTGAACAAGGCTTTTGCTTTCTGGAAACCCTGTGTCAGAAGAGTTGCTATTCAAGAATGCTAACACCCATGTACAAGTCAATGCACGCCCTTTGAGGCCACCCCGACCGGCCCCAAGTCCATTCTTGGAGCCCACTCAGGGGGTCCGGTTTAGGTGGCTCAGGCGGTGTGGGTGGGAGAAATGACAAAGTCCCATAGCCGCACTTCCCTTTGCAAAAGATTCTATAGGTGCAATCTTATGCGGCATGGTTTCTGCAAACATTCAGAGGCTGGAGAGGAGTACTGTCAAGGGAGACTTGAACGAAGGATTGATATGCACACGCTGGTTGGGGGCACGGGAACCGACTACGTTGCGAAATGCAGGGCCCTTACTCGCCTCCTCTGTAGTGCCCAACGGGACCCCCTTTCTTATTTACACCCTCAGTATACTATCACACGGTACTCTGCTGATACAGGGGCCTGGGGGGGGGGATGGGGAGGGAATACAGAAGGAACGCATTGCGTCAGTGAGCGTTTCTTTGTACGCTTATGGGACTTTGTACCTAGGTCTACCTGAGGTCATGATTTCCTAAGCGGTCGAATGGATGCTGTGCCTGAAGCCCTGAATGCTCAAAACATCACATCCTAAAGATGAAGTCCATGTGGCAACAAACGCATGGGCATATGAAACCCAGGGCATAGAAAGTTGCATTTGTTCGCTAAGTATGCTCGCAAAATCCGACAGTATCTAGCTTTATTCCTTCGAAAGCCTGTGTCCTAGGTCTGCTTGATCACGCAGTTCTCACCACCCATGGTCGGAAATCTTGAACCCAAACTCTGCAGACAGCCCAAATCCTGAACAAAGCACCTCCACGCCATATTTCTTCCCGGCCGTGAGGTTCACCAACTCGTCCGTGAAGGCACCTCCACCGCCACCGCCACCGCAAAGCCAAAGCTCCCCGCAAGGACCGACTACATCCGGATCCTCGTCTGTCACCTGATGAGGTTTTTCAGAACAAGAATGACAACTCCATACTATCATTCTTATGCTTAGCACCATTCTTGCTGTGGTCAAGAGCCTTGCTACCACGACTACCACTAGTGCCACCACCGCCGCTTCCACCACCACCACCACCACCACCACCACCACCACCACCAGCAGCAGCAGCAGCAGCAGCAGCAGCAGCAGCAGCAGCAGCAGCAGCAGCAGCAGCAGCAGCAGCAGCAGCAGCAGCAGCAGCAGCAGCAGCAGCAGCAGCAGCAGCAGCAGCAGCAGCAGCAGCAGCAGCAGCAGCAGCAGCAGCAGCAGCAGCAGCAGCAGCAGCAGCAGCAGCAGCAGCAGCAGCAGCAGCAGCAGCAGCAGCAGCAGCAGCAGCAGCAGCAGCAGCACGACGACGACGACGACGACGACGACGACGACGACGACGACGTCGACGTCGGGGGTTGGGCCTTCGAGGTTCAAGAAGCTCATTAATGGTTTTCATTGGGCTGGGTCTTGGTTCCCTCTATTCTTCTCATGTATGCACACGCATGCACACGATTGCAAACTGAGCCTTCCAGCGCCTCTCCCTGGGCACCCACTTCCTGGCAGCAGAGCGCGCTATCCTGGCGAAGCGCCGCGCCACCGCCACGGGCAAGCCCCTCCTGGGGTTGTGAAAAAAGGAAATTACGAGCTTGATTCGGACGATCAACTGGGCTGTTCCAATGGTCAATAGGGGTTTTGTATGAACATTAAGGTTCGTTAAGGGTGATTCCAAGGATTGTCGGGATTATCACTTCCATTTTGGGAACGCTTGATTGTTTGTTTTTTTTTTTTTGGGGGGGGGGAGGGGTGGTATGTGTGTTCAAATGCTATGACTCCAGTATTTCTGCCACTATTTTTGACTACGAACCCCTCTCTTATTCTTGCTACTACCCCGGCCCTTTGGAGACGTACGCTCCTGGCTTGCTTGGTCCGTTCCGGAGTCGGCTGTGTTTGCTGCTGGGTGGTTTGCTCTGGCTGCCTTGGCCGGTAGGGCACGCCTATACCAACAGGTGTATCGGCCGGATAAGCGGCGTTGTAGCCGGTCACTGCACCACCACGCCATGGCGGTTGTAAGCCACGGCTGGACCAGTAGCGCCAGTTGTTGGGATTCATCTGGTTGGCATGATTGTTCAAATCTGCTCGGGTACCAAGCCCTTTGTATCCACCGCGGCGACCCCTACCACGACCACGCAACCGTCGTGCTTGGCAACCTCCCTCTGGGACCAGGCGAGCCTTAGCTGCAACGGATTTCATGTCTAGAAGTACGCGCCACAGCCTGATCAAAGCCGTGGTGTTATGTTCGTTCCAAGAAACCGGTGCCCCACCCATGCCTCCAGCGCCCCAGAGCTTCACACGGACAACCTCACTTTTGGTTTGGGTCCACGTCGTCCACTGCCCGATGATTTTCGGGGGTTCGCCCGTCGCGGAGCCATCACCTCCACAGGAAAGTCTGAGGGCTTCCATGCCTGGACTTTCAGGCTGCTGAATTTCCTGGGTCTCGTGAGTCTCTGCGATGCTCTCGGTACCAACCAGTGTCTGGGGACCAGTGTCCTCTCTGGCAGGCCGCTGGGATGCATCTGCCGGGCGGAATCTCACACTGTAAAGGAAGCTCGCGAATAGGACACCATATATCAGCGGCCCGCATACCAGGTGCCATCGGCGCCGGGGCGGCGCGTCGTCGAAGGTCTGGGTCAGTGATTCGTTCAAGCCTTCGCCCTGGCTGGTTTCCATGGCCATCATCTTCGCTGCTTTGCTTCCAGAACACCTATAAGTATCGCAAAGGGCTCAGGGTTCTCGGCTTTTGGGTTCTAGGGTTTAAGGTTTAGGGATTAGGGTTGAAGGCTAGGAAGTGTTTGAACGAACCCTCGCCCCTTACAATCCCGAGTCCAGAAACCTGATCGTTCTTTCCTACGCCCCAGTCCCTAAACGACCCTACACACAGGTCCTGAAACAAGACCCTAAGCCCTCCAGTCACTTCAGGACTTCCGTCTGCTCTGAGCCTGCTGAGCCTCCAACCACAACACGCGCATGCGCTGAACTGTGGGCAGACATCACCTATTTCTTCCAAAGGGGCCGAAGACCCGGAGTGTATGTCTAGGGGTTGTACCTTGGACCCTTAAGGTTTTGCCCTTGGGTTTTGGGGAACCTTTTTCAAGAATCCTTAACGTAGTATATATTTGGGGTGTACAGGGGGATCCACAACGCACATGTTATGAAATACTGGCCTGCATGATCCAAAAGCAGCTTTTGGGGGCGATATACGTTGTACAAATACAAAGTCTGGAGCTTAAAGACTGAGGAGGAAGCCAATCAACATATGCTAAGTTCATCATCCGTGCTAATTTAATCACGTCACAAGCACCACCCTGCAACCTCTCAATACTACGCCTGAATGTGCAAAGGTCCCTCACCACCCCGTTGCCGTTTTGAGTATGCGCTCGCATTTTTGCCATCGACTGCTGGCAGCATCGAGCGCACATCTGCAGTCAACTGGCCTGAGGATGCAGGTATCAACGCACAACCCTTTCAGAAGGTACGTGCTGCTTCTCCGATATTTTCTTTGACAGCGTGCCCGTAGCTGCAACCACATCGCTCAAGCTAGCCTATCTTTTCCTAAGCTTTGTGCATCCATGTGGGTGTAGGACACATGTTGAAGGGGGCTAGTGCAGGCTGCGCAGTGCACTTCCTGTTGCGGCTTGCTGCTTGAAGGATTTGGTCTGGTACTGCAACTGATCACGAATACATTTGACCTGTCTTTGGTGGGCAACACCAAGGGAGCCGCTGCCTCAAACCCTCAAACCCACAAACCCACAAACCCCCCAAACCCTCAAACCCTCAACCCCCCAAACCCTCAAACCCCCAAACCCTCAAACCCCCAAACCCTCAAACCCCCAAATCCTGAAACCCTCCAACCCTCAAACCCCCAAACCCGCAATCCCTCACACTCTCAAACCTTCAAGCCCCAAAAGCCCCAGGGCCCCATACTCCAAAGATGGCCACCCTGAACCCTAAACCCTAAACCCTAAACCCTAAACCCTAAACCCTAAACCCTAAACCCTAAACCCTAAACCCTAAACCCCAAGAAGCCCCCAAACATGGCCGACCCCCTCGGTCCCAGGCAGCCAGGCCCTGTGCCACCTCTCGAAAGTGGTCGAGGCGCGTCAGGAGCTCCTGGGGGGGCGTCAGGGGTTTGTAACGGTTTAGGGTTTAGGGTTTAGGGTTTAGGGTTTAGGGTTCAGGGTTTAGGGTCTAGGGTCTAGACTCTAGGGTCTAGGGTTTAGGAGGGTTTTATAGGGGCGACGAGGCAGATGATTATTTCCGACAGCGTTGGCAACCTTAGAAGCTTTGGGCCCATCTGTGCTGAAGGGTTCTGGTAGTATACCTACTGATTCTTCGTAGTGAATGGCAGGGAAAGAGGTGCCCTATATAATCCCTTGCAGGGTATAGACAAGGGGATCTACAGTACCGAATGTCCTCATTCCCTACTAAGAACCAATAGGAACAGGGCACATGATTCCCATCTCAAGGTACAGACTTTGGGGGTTACTGGCTCTTCCCCAGGAACCCTACGTCTGCTATGGTGCCAGAGAAGGTCTGGAGTCTACACCCGGCTTCAAATTCGATCTCCATGGCGCGCATGTTATGGGTTTAGGGTTGAGGGTTTAGGGTTTCCACGCCCCTCACTTGGTAGCCCAGCAGCCATCTTATAGTAAGCGTACCCTTTCTTGGTTGGCTACTGAAAAACCAACCCAGAACCAAAGGGTACCACCGGACTACCAAGCCAAAGTAAGTCTCCCTTTGCTTCGCCCTTATGTGCTCTCGTCGGCTGACCAGGGCTTGGGGGGGGGGGGCTTTAGGAAAGTTTAGGGGCACAACGGCCCATCAGGGCTGATTGTGATCTCATCCCAAGGGCATGAGACGTATGGCCTTAACCCTAAACCTCAAACTTACAACCTTACGAGCTTCCCAGGCAGCAGTGTTTGTGGCACCTCCGGGTAAGTTTCCTCGGAGAAAATGGCAAGATCCTGGCTTCACCAGTCAGGGATGGAACGGTTTTGGGTTTGGGGGGATCTGGCCCAAAGTAGAATATGGTCCAGCCCATCTCCCCCCAAAAACTCCAAAAAACAAAACTCTAAAACCCTAAAACTCCAAAATTCTAACACCCCGATCAAACCACAAAACTCTGAAACATAACCCCCCCCCCCCACAAAAAAAAGGTATATATAAACTGCGAAACCCTGGAACCCTGGACTGCCTGAAAGAAGACATCTGCAGGTCAGAAAGCCAAAAAATGCCCATAAGGTGCCCCCGACGGGGCTTTGGGGAGACTTGAGGTTTAGGGTTTAAGGTTTCGGGTTTAAGGTTTAGGGGTAAAGAGTGTGACTTGACATTGTGAAATTGTAGGGGCCTTTGGGAACTTTTGGGGCTTTAGGGGCTTCAGAGACTTTCGGGACTTTGTTGGGGTTTAACGGGGTTCGGTGAGGGAGGGGAGTTCAGGTGAGGGCACCTGACATCTTACTCACCGGGAAGATCCCTGAGTAGTCTGTAAAGGCAGTTCTCTGTTTAACTCTAGGGCAGGGTTTAGGGCCTCGGGTTTAGGCCTACGGGCCTAGAAGAGATTCTGGGTTCTGGAAGGTCTAAACCCTAAACCCTAAACCCTAAACCCTAAACCCTAAACCCTAAACCCTAAACCCTAAACCCTAAACCCTAAACCTGTAAGACCAGACGCTCGTTTGGGGCAACCCCCGAAGTGGCCTGCCGCTGCTGAAGCCGACAGACAAGGTCTCCCATCTGACAGCAAGGCAAGGGTGCTTTGACGACTTGGGTTTAGGGTTTAGGAGTTTAGGGTTTTTTGGAGTTTAGGGTTTAGGAGTTTAGGGCTTAGGGGTTGAGGGGTTTAGCACTCAGAGAGAAACTCGGAAGAGGAAGCTGCTTGTGTTTTGGAAGGCTGTTGAAGCTTTGGCGTGGTGTGTGGAGCCCTGTTCGCCCAACTTCCGAGAGTCTTCTGCGACAACTCAAAAAACCTCATCCAACCTCTTCGTCCATACAGCAGTCCAGAGGAATCACTTAGAAAACTCTAGTAACTAGTCCGCGGCAATCACTGAATTCCATCCGCAGCTCCGTAACGAGCGATCCAGAGCTCTCCAAACCCTGGGTCCCCCCTTAAACGCCCTCCGCCACGGCAGGAAACCCGGAAACTGCCGCGCCCGGAATTGCCCCACCGAGCAAGCCAGTTCCCCTCTCCTGCTCCACTAGCAGGCCCACAGCATCCTCCTTCGAGACTTGGTGGCACTACGTCGCGTTTACCCTGTGGTTGTCCTCAACCTTCAGCCTTCACCCTCAACCCTGAACTTTTGGATGGGGGTGCTAATGGGTGTTGTGGATGAGGTCTGGAAAGGAGGCGGGGACAGGGGCAGAGCGGGCAGAAAGTCAGAGAAGTAGAGGGGCAGACGACCAGAGGGGCGGATGGGCCCTTCATCTGAACTCTGATCGCTGCAGACGCAACCATCCCATGCCTCATCTAGGAATACTTAATTTGCATAGGCAGCCTGGGGGTCGATGTAGGGTTCGTACTCAATATAAATTATTTTGCTTCGAACATCCCGACCGGGATTTGGATTTGGGCGCTCCAGGGAGTCTCTGGGGTTGGGCACTCCAGGGAATCTCTGGGGTTTGGCATTTCAGGGAGTCTCTGGTAGAGAGTCTCTGGGGTTGGGCACTCCAGGGAGTCTCTAGGGGTAGACCGGGCGAGGAGAAGAGTTCCGGGCGAGGAGAAGAGTTGAGTTTAAAATCTAACAACCCCACACCGAAGGTGTGGAATAAGAAAAATGCAGAACAATCTATACATATATACATATATAGAAATGTACATATACACTAGTTGGAGACGCTTGGTTGGTATGCATCGGTTCGGCCAGTCCAAGGACTGGCCCAACATCTCGGTACATAACAACGCGCCCATGCTTCCGATCCCCCAAACCCGAACCCTAAACCCTAAACCCTAAACCCTAAACCCTAAACCCTAAACCCTAAACCCTAAAGCGTCCTTGGTGGCAGACCCGGAGCCGACCCCCTCCTGGACGCACGGCTTTCGATGGCGCAGGTCGGGGTTTAAGGGTTTAGGGTTTAGGGTTTAGGGCTTAGGGTTTAGGGTTTAGGGTTTAGGGTTTAAGGTTCAGGGTTCAGGGTTCAGGGTTTAGGGTTTAGGGTTTAGGGGGACCCTTGGGGAAATAGACCCCCTGAGTAAGGTCCCTGTTCAAGATAGCCAGCAGAGGGTTAAGAAGGGTTCCCGTTTAAGCGTCGCCCTTATCCTACCTAGGAGGTCCTAGTTCAGGTTGGGATACTATTAAAAATTAGATGTATATTCCTTTTTTGGGTTTAAGCACCCTTTAAACATCTAAAATGGTACCCAACTATGACAAAGGTAATTAGGGGTTAACGGCTTACTGTAGGGTCCAGGGCTT